ATATATATATATATATATATATATATCAGTGAAAGAGTGGTGAGGCAAATATAATATACCTGTAATTATTACTGTAGCCATGTGTCTCTCTCTTTATCTCTGTTATTTCTTTTTTTCTTCTATGTTTTCTTTATTCTCTATAGATAAAGGTTTTTATTTTTTTTTATTTTAATCTTGTTATTCATAAATTCTCATTACCACTACTACTATTATTATTATTATTATTATTATTATTTTATTGTTATTACTATTACTATTTTTAGTGTATACAAAAATGTGGTTTGGTGGGGCGCTGCAGATGATGGCGGCATTTTTATTATTGGCGTTTGTTCATTACTTCGCCGCCGCATTTCTTCCCATTGCGGATTGTGATGAGACCTACAACTTCATTGAACCCATTCACCAGTTATTGTACGGTACTGGATTGCAGACATGGGAGAATTGCCCAATCTATGCATTGCGTTCATGGCTCTTTGCGTGGATTTACGCAGCCCCTGCGTTTCTTGTCAAATCCATGCCGAGTCTACGTAGTGTGGATGTGTACTTTTTTATTCGTATCTTTCATGGTCGAGTGGCGTGTTTGGGTGAGTTATTCTTTGTCTACAGTGTGTGGGTGCGATTCTCTGGTAGAACCGCATTGATTGCCCTTTTGTTATTACTATTGAATTATCCCATTCCACACGCCGCGGTGAGTGCCTTACCAACGAGTTTTGTGATGATTAATAACTTCATAGCCCTTGGTTGTTGGTTACGTACAGAGAGAAGCCATTCTAATGAGAAGTGTGAGGATCATTTTAGTTCTTCTTCTTTTCGTAAACACTTGCCTGTGTTTGGAACAGTCTTCTTTGTTGTTTTTTCTTGTATTCTTGGTTGGCCCTTTGCTGGTTTGGCGGCATTTCCAATGGCAATAGATCTTCTTATTCGGCACCCAATCGTCTCTGTGTTTTCTCTTATTATTTCTCTCTTGTTGATTATACCCCCAGCGGCGGCGGTGGATATGTTTTATTATTGCCGCCCAACGTGGAGTGCGTGGAATCTCGTGCGGTATAATCTTCTCAGTGGAGATGAGCGCGGGCCGGAGTTATACGGCATTGAGCCATGGTATTATTTTATTAAGAATTTATTATTAAATGCACATTTTATGTTTCTCGCTGGTGTGATCGCCCCACTGGTGATACTTGGGCAATCCACTATACAATCACAAACACTCGGAATAAGAACAAGAACAACAAGAAATACTATTAATACAAATAAAACAACAACAAAAGAAGAAGAAGAAGAAGAAGAAGAAAAAGAAAAAGAAGAAGAAAGAGGAAGAGGAAGAGGAGGTAATAGTATGGGAAAGAACAATCAAGATACATCCATTTCTTTACGAAAGCGAACTCCATTTGTGTCATCGCCTATTAATATACGAGTTCCATCTGTGGTGCCTATTTCACCCTTTTCAAGTTCAGCCCAATCTACACAAGAACAACAACAACAACAACAACAACAACAACTGCAGAGCCGGCCAGTGTCAAAGAGTCGAATGTTACTTTACATTTCTCCTTTTTTTCTTTGGTTCACTTTTTGGTTAACAGTTCCACACAAGGAGGAACGATTTATGGCCCCTGTATTCCCTTTTCTTGTTCTTGCCGCTGCACTCTCCATCACTCAACTATTCTTCTCCAGTGGATCAACTCCCATTGTGGAAACAACAACAACAACAACTGGAAATACGGATATGAGTACTTCATCCACGAAGAAGACATCTGATCGAAACAATTGGGCGAAAACTAAATCATCACATTCTAGATATATTTCCTCTTCACGTTTCTCACGGCTTCTTCCTGCTGTAGGATGGATATTATTGTTACTATTTGGTATAGTTTCCTTTTCTCGTGGTATGGCGGTATATCATTTCTATGCAGGACCCCAACGAATCTTATATGATAGTTATTCTCTTTTACAAGATGCGGCCGCACAGCACGTGCAATCACACACAATAAACCAAAATAATAATAATAATAATAATAATAATAATAACACCACAATAGAATCTCAACTTTATACACTTTGTATAGGCCGAGAATGGTATCGTTTTCCATCCTCTTTCTTCCTGGATCAACGATACGCACGAGTGGCGTTTATAAAAACGACGACTTTCAGTGGGGCGTTGCCGCTGCCGTACGCACGCGATGACAACACCGCCACTTGTCGCTGCGGCTCTCCAGAAGTGAATGATCGCAATCGTGAAATCGCAGCGCAGTACGTTGGAGATGTGAGTGCCGAGTGTGATGCGATTCTAGATAGCCATAGTCCTTTTAACCCGCAGGAGTCACGTGATTACCCATCGGATGTGTTTATACACAAATTCTCCACATTGCCATCATCACAGTTGTTGCTATTAGATGTGGATCGCACTCCCATGTGGTGTAGAGTACTTTACTATCCATTTGGTATAACGGAGCGGTGTGCTGTGTGGAGGGAAGTAGATCTTGTTACCAAACACCCACTTCCAACTACTACTACTACTACTACTGCTGCTGCTGAGGGGATCTCAAAGTAAATTGGGCTACCAATGAAGTATATATATACATGGATGTACTTGCTTTTTACAGATAGACATATGTACTTTTGTAACCATTCTCAACCAGATGAAGCGTAGTGAAAAAAAGGGAATCAAAGTATAAACAACAACAAAAACAGAAAAAAGAATTGGTATGTGTTTGAAAAAAAAAATATATATATATATATATATATATACTCTTGTAGTTTGGCGTACATGTAATTGGAGTTTCTGTTTTCTCTTATATTATTTTTCTTCTTTTTATCTAAACAAGAGTACGAGTGAATGAAGTAGAAGGTACAGGAAAGTGGTGCTTTCTGTATTCAAAACATACAAAGCTCAAACATATACACACACATATATATATATATATATATATATATATATATATATATATAGAGAGAGAGAGAGAGAGAGAGAGAGAGAGAGTGAAAGAGATATCTTAGTAGACGAATACACTAAACTTTTTTAATGGGACCCCGATCGGCTGTTCGAAATGTAGCTGCTATTACCATTCAGCGATGGTATCGACGGCGATTAGAAGTAACACGAGCAATACGACTGCTGGCTATTTTGCATATACTTCATCATGAGAGAAATAAAACAGCGAAGATTGCCCCAATATTGTTTGAAATAACCACTGCCTATGTGGATAGTGTGAATGATAATCACAGAGAGGACCACAGTATGAGTGGTGATGGAGGAGATGGTGTTCATTTAATAGATTTTTTGGAGAATTCCACCACTAGCAGGGGCAAACCATTATTTCGTCTGGTGGAGTTGTTGTTATCATTAGCTGTTCGCTATGGTGAGCGACTCCATCATCTCCATACAGAGAAAAACAGACAATATCAATGTAAACAATATCAATATAAACAACAACAAGGATGCTGTCCTCAACGTTTATTGTTATTAACAGACACCATGTTAGTAGAGCTCTTATTAGATATCCGTCGTGCGGGAGATGTGAAACAACACGAACCTGCAGAAAAACCAAAAGAAGAACCACAACGAGTTGTATGGTGTTTACGTCACTGTCTCGATGCGGCCGGTATTTCGTGGTTTGTGGAAATGTCTCGCCGAGTAGAGATTGAAAAGAACATTCAACGCACATCTCCACTTTATTATTCATTCATACGAACATTTCAAAACACACGAGTGACTCAATTGTTATTACCATGTGTGTGTGATGATAGTGTGGTGTTGGCAGATGTGCCGCCGCTTCCACAACCACCGAGTCTGTGGACCGCACCGTTTTTACCCACAGCAGAGACGAGTCATGTTCATTCCCAGAAAAATAACAATAATAACAACAATAGTAAGAATGAGATTCAACCACAAAAAGAAAAAGATGATGAAGATGAAGATGATGATGATGATGATAGTATTGTTAATGAAAATGATGAGGAGGAGGAAGAAGATGAGGATGAGGATTACGATGATGATAAGTATTACAACCGCCAGCATGCGAGGGAACAGGCTCGTCTCTCCCGTATCTTATCAGCCCTGCAGATGGAAGAACCGTCCGTAGAAGAAAAGGAAAAAAATGATAAAAATAAAGCCGAACGTCGAAGTGAAGAGGAAACAGCCGCGCAGGATTCCTACATGCAACTCTTTGGTGAAGTGAAGGAAGTTTTATTTCCCACGCTCAACACAATGAAGATACCCACCTCTGCTTGTAAGAATACCAAAACAACTACTAATAAGAAAGATTTGGATTCCCGCTTCTGTGTTGTGTGTGAACTCTCTGGGATAGAGGATGAACTTGTGGTGTGTTGCTGTGGGAATTGTATACATCGTGACTGCACACACACTAGTATGAATGGTGAATGGCGATGTTCCCGATTCTGTCAACCACTATAAAGATAGATAGAGTGAGAGAGAGAGAGTGAGAGAGAGACTGCGGCGGTGTATGTGAAACGAATGATGTAAGAATATAAAAACTGTTTGTGAACACAGAGTGTGTTTACTCCATTTCAATTTTATTTCTTTGAAATTATACCTGGAACGGTAGTAGTTATTGTTTTTATTTTCTTTTTCTTTTTTTTTCTCTCTCTCTGGGAGGAGAGGAAGAGAGTGAATTTTTTCTTTTTTTTTTGCCTTTTTGTGTTTCTGTATAGTTTCTTCTTCTTTTTCTATGTGAATGTAGGGGCTTCTCTATCTTTCACAATTCCCACTAAACATATTCCTCTTTCTTTCTTTCTTTCTTTCTTTTTACTTTCTTTCATGTCTATATATATATATACCACTACATTAAGTATGTCAGAAGGACTGTGTTTAGGCGAATGAGTGATGCACTTGCGCTTCTCGATGGGGCGGCGGCGCGAGTATCGGCGCTGTTGATGCCGGATGGACTTCATTCATTAATTTCATTTCTACGCGGTGAGGCGTGGGAGGAAATATCGCCATCACTGCAAATACCGAATGTCTTGATTAGTTGTTACAACTACACACCGCTGGCAATAGCAGCAGATGCCTCACTGGTTTCACTCGCCTCATCCGGGGAACGATCGGCGCTTGTGCAGACATTTGAGCGCTATGAGTTTCGTGTATTTGTAGTGAACTTTATGCCGGAGAGTAGTAGTAGTGGTAGTAACAGCACAGAGGATGTAATGCCGCACAAAGGAAATAGTAATAGTAATAACAGTCATAGTGGGAGTATTATCCGTATGAAATGTATGGAGTCTGTGCAAGCTTGGTGTGATGGAGTATATAAGAAGGAGGAACCACACAGTGGACTGGAGCACGATACGGTCAATATAGATTCCAAACGTATGCGTTATGAAGAAAGAGAAAGAACAACAACAACAACTAATTCTACTACTACTACTACTAATAATAATAATTCTACAGGTATGAATGCAGAGAAAAGAAGTACTCAACGTGTTCTTTTCATTATTCGTTGCTGTGCGGATGCGAACGTTAGTCGCAGTGGTGCTGAACGATCACGCCGCTCACGAGATCCCTTGTTACTATTACTGCATGATATCACCGCCACTGCGGCTCTCTGTCGGGCGAGAGAACACACCCAACACACCACACGTCTGCGGTTTTCTGTATTACTTCTCCCGGATGATCTTGCCTACGGCGGTGCGTTGCTGGAGGAGTCTCTGAAGGCCCCGTTGGTGCGGGAATATTACGTGCGGCTCTTCCGTGGCTCCGCTGCGCAGATAAAAGATGAGGAGCAGTTGGCATTTCTACACCGACTGGAGATGTGGATTGGTGGAGGTCCAGCAACGGCAGGGCATTCCATAGATACAACAGACATGAGTGAAAACAAAGAAGAAAAAGAAGAAAAGGAAAAAGAAGAAAAAGAGAAAAAGAAGGAAAGTGTAGTGGGGGATGATGTTCGTCGGCGTTCATCTAGTATGTTTTTTATTCGCCGTGATAACTTACCGCTGTGTTGTTTCTTGCGTGAAGCTCTGCGTCGATTTCCTCTCATTTTACATCCAACCGCATTGCGACAACTGCAGACATTATGGGCCGCACGGCATCAACTCAGCGACGTGGTGGCGGGGTTTCACACACTGCTGTGTCCATTCACATTATCATCCTCCCGCTATTCCACAACAACAACAATAATAAGAAAAGGAAAAAGAATAAGAAGAAGAGATGTGGAAATGGAAAGTGAGAGAGATGGAATGACACGACTCTCGGATAGTGTAGATCTTCTAAATGCGTTACTCACAGCTGCTGGTCAATGGGCCGATGGACATGCTCTTAACGAGGCAGTGGCCTTTGCGGTATTGTATGAAGATCTTGTCTGGAAAAGACCCACACGACTGCAGCGGGTGCCATCATTTGTGTCTGCACTCCAACACTTGTGGGAGAGACGTCAAAAGAGGAATAAGAAAAACAACAACAGTGATGATAATAATAATAATAATAATAATAATAACAATAATAGTGATAGTGATAATGATGATGATAAGGATGAGGATGAGGATGATGAGGATGATGAGGATGATGAGGATGTGGAGATGGTGATGGATGCGGCATTGCGGTGGTGTGTGCCGGTGTATACACCCAGCTGCATGGTACAGGATGAATCTTATCAACACGAGAAGGAATCGAAAGAAGAAAAAGAAAAAACAAAAGAAGAAAATTCTCTGGAAAGACGGGCTGCGGTGATGTTGCCTGCTGTTATGATGGCCCCTGCGGCTCGAGTGCCAATTGTGGCGGAGTTAATGCGATCCGCACTCCTGGCAGTGTTGCCACCTCACGACTCCCTTGAAGAATTAAAGAATGCCGTCAATAATAACAACAATAAGAAGAATGATGATGATAAGAAGAAGAAGAATCATGTGGATATAGATAGTGTACGCACAACGGGGAATAACTTCTTCAGTACATTCCTCCCTGATTCGGCTCGAGTGCTGCATGTATTGGCGGCCCACGCCTTATCGCACACAACTGTGCAGCGGAAGTTTGTTTCCTTTGCGTTACTGCAGCGTGTGTGTCAACTCTCAGACGAGGCGCTTGTGCGGGCGTTGAAGGAACTGCAGCTGGCGGGAATGGTGGCACTGAACGGCCGGGAGTTTACGGCCAGAACACTTCTGGACAATTAACGGCATATATCTATATCTATATATATATATATATAGCAAAAGAGAGAGAGAGATGATAATGGATGGGGATTGTCCAGAAGTGTGAGGATAATGAAGATGATAATGGATGGGAGGAGGAGGAGGAGGGTGATATTTTCATTTTCATTCTGTTTTTTTTTTTTTTTTT